TAATTTTCACAATTTTTTTTCTTTATTTTTTACTAATTTTTTGATTTTTGAGGGCAAAAAATTGAGAGTTTCCGGGCAGCGATTTTTTCGAAATTGTGTAGGAATGTAAGGAGACTCACAAGGAGCGATTATCAAAAATAAAATCCTTGGTCAAATAATAACTCTATATTTCACAATTTTTTTCTTTATGTTTTACTGATTTTTCGATTTTTGAAGGCAAATAATTTAGAGTTTTCGGGCAGCGATTTTTTTAGAATTATTAGGAATGTTTGAAGACTCACTAGGAGCCATTACCAAAAATAACATCCTTGGTCAATTGATATCTCCAATTTTCACAATTTTTGTTCTTTATTTTTTACTAATTTTTTGATTTTTGAGGGCAAAAAATTGAGAGCTTACGGGCAATGATTTTTTTGAAATTGTGTAGGAATGTTAGGAGACTTACTAGAAGCGATTACCAAAAATAAAATCCTTGGTCAAATAATAACTCTAATTTTCACAATTTTTTTCTTTATTTTTTACTAATTTTTCGATTTTTGAGGGCAAAAAATTGAGAGTTTACGGGCAACGATTTTTTTGAAATTGTGTAGGAATGTTAGGAGACTCACTAGGAGCCATTACCAAAAATAAAATCCTTGGTCAAATAATAACTCTATATTTCACAATTTTTTTCTTTATGTTTTACTGATTTTTTGATTTTTGAGGGCAAAAAATTGAGAGTTTCTGGGCAGCGATTTTTTTGAAATTGTGCAGGATTGTTAGGAGACTCACTAGGAGCCATTACTAAAAATTAAATCCTTGGCAAATAATAACTCTAATTTTCACAATTTTTTTTCATTATTTTTTATTAATTTTTTGATTTTTGAGGGCAAAAAATTGAGAGTTTACGGGCAACGATTTTTTTGAAATTGTGTAGGAATGTTAGGAGACTCACTAGGAGCCATTACCAAAAATAAAATCCTTGGTCAAATAATAACTCTATATTTCACAATTTTTTTCTTTATGTTTTACTGATTTTTTGATTTTTGAGGGCAAAAAATTGAGAGTTTCTGGGCAGCGATTTTTTCGAAATTGTGTAGGAATGTTAGGAGACTCACAAGGAGCCATTACCAAAAATAAACTCCTTGGTCAATTGATATATCCGATTTTCATAATTTTTTTTCTTTATTTTTTACAAATTTTTTGATTTTTGAGGGCAAAAAATTGAGAGTTTCCGGGCAGCGATTTTTTTTAAATTGTGTAGGAATGTTAGGAGACTCAATAGGAGCGATTATCAAAAATAAAATCCTTGGTCAAATTTTAATTGTGGATCTGACATATGTTGTTGTCGTTTTGGTGTGGTTTGTATACATATAGTTGTTATTCTAAAGTTTTAATAAAAAGTAATTTTTTTGAATTTTGAGTTTTGATATTTGCTTTCTGTTGTGTTTGTGACTTTTCTTTTGATATCTGTAAGTTAAATCTTCCATTTTAAGAAAAAAATTTTTCGTTGATAAACGTTGCGGACTACTACGTCGTAAAGTTCTCACCTTCAGAAAATCTTTATTTTCATCGTCCTTATATGTGACCTGGTCTATGAAAAGAAACCTAACGCGTCAAAAAATAATTTTTCACTTTTTTGTTGATTCTGATAAGAGTGTAAAACTCTCTTTAAGCTGGTAAAAACCAAATGGTCATAATTTGTTTAGAAGTTTTTTAAAAGTTTGTTTAAAGTCAAAAGAAAGAAGAGTACAAATATGAAAAAACTGATTTGCTTTGTTATCATACAAATTAAAACAACGAAGACTATAATTTGTAATTATTTAGAAAAGTTAACAGTTTCTTTTACAGTAGCTGTCAACTATCACAACTTAAATTTGATGTCATATTCATAATCAGCGACCTCGAAAACCTTATTACTGTCTTTTTTTTATTAGAAATGATCACTTTTGCTTCCTCGTAAGGAAGCTTTGTAGTCGTTCAATTTACAAAATTTTTAAAAATCCTTTTAACAAATTTTTTTCTATATAGGACTATGTTATATAAGACCCTGAACAATTGTCCGGATGTATGTATGTGTGTGTGTATGTGTGTTGATGCCGATTTTTGTGAACACGATAACTCGAAGAGGTTTTAACGAATTTGGCTAAAAATTTGCACTTTTAAAAAAATTCTTTTTTTCTTAAAAATCATGTTGCTGTATAATAAAATGTTATTACTTATTTGAAAATAAATAAAAAATCTTATTCTTTGCATCAAGACGAATCGATTGATGTATATAAAGTAGATGATGTATTCCACGTCAGTTCAACACAAAAAATTTTATTAGGTTTTGGGATTCGGTTGAAATTAGGTAGATTATATCCTCTGGTGGTAGTAAATAAAATCCCTAAGCGATTTTAAAAAATTTTAAAAATTGGCGGACATATTGGATTTTTAATTTTTTTGTACTTTTTTTTTGAAAAATATATATCTCTGCTTCTTCTTAACGGATTTTAGTTTATGACCTCTTAAATTGTTCGTATTGAAATATACTTTTATTTAAAAAATTAAAATTAAAAAAATTATTTAAATTTTTTGTTTAAAAAATTAATTTAATTTTTTGAAAAGCCATAGAAAAAATATGCTACCTTCAATTTTGATCATTTTTTTACCATTTGTAGCCATAAATGTGTTGAACTTGTCCTGAAATTTTCATCGTGGGACAGCCAGTAGTTTTTGAGAAAAAAAATAAAACGTAAATCCTCGCATAGCGCTGTAGCGCTCAGTTTTAATGCCTCACGATTGTAAATGGAATTTTAATGAAAGTACGAGTTTTTATTAACCCTAGAACTAAAATATGATTTTTTTATAGACTAACGAAAAACTGAGGTGGTTTGGTACCCCAGATTTGAAACAATTGTAAAAGGTTACCTTTTTTGTAATTTTTTTAATTTGTCAACAATGTGGCTAATTTGAAAAAATTAAACGGATTTTAAAAGGTAAATAGAGACAATTTTATTTTGATTAAGGCAACTTGAAAATTTAAATATTATTTACAATATATACAAATGTTAAATGATTTTAAAATAGAATAAAAATTATTTATTACAAAGGAGGTTTCTATTTTTTACGGAAGAGTTTCCGAGGTCGTACAGTTTTTCTTTATTTACCTTTTAAAATCCGTTTAATTTTTTCAAATTAGCCACATTGTTGACAAATTAAAAAAATTACAAAAAAGGTAACCTTTTACAATTGTTTCAAATCTGGGGTACCAAACCACCCCAGTTTTTCCTTAGTCCATAAAAAAATCATATTTTAGTTCTAGGGTTAATAAAAACTCGTACTTTCATTAAAGTTCCATTTACAATCGTGCGGCATTAAAACTGAGCGCTACAGCGCTATGCGAGGATTTACGTTTTATTTTTTTTCTCAAAAACTACTGGCTGTCCCACGATGAAAATTTCAGGACAAGTTCAACACATTTATGGCTACAAATGGTAAAAAAATGATCAAAATTGAAGGTAGCATATTTTTTCTATGGCTTTTCAAAAAATTAAATTAATTTTTTAAACAAAAAATTTAAATAATTTTTTTAATTTTAATTTTTTAAATAAAAGTATATTTCAATACGAACAATTTAAGAGGTCATAAACTAAAATCCGTTAAGAAGAAGCAGAGATATATATTTTTCAAAAAAAAAGTACAAAAAAATTAAAAATCCAATATGTCCGCCAATTTTTAAAATTTTTTAAAATCGCTTAGGGATTTTATTTACTACCACCAGAGGATATAATCTACCCAATTTCAACCGAATCCCAAAACCTAATAAAATTTTTTGTGTTGAACTGACGTGGAATACACCAGATATTCTATTGAAAATTATAGAATTAATTACAATTAAAGTTTAAAAATTCACTGTTTTACTAAAATTTTTTTGTTTATTTAGATTCATATTACTGTATAAGAAAATTTTATTCTTTCTATTAAGACGAATGAACTTTGTTTTATAAATGTTAAATTGTATTAAAAGTGATTTAAAAATGAAATATACTTATCGTTAATGCTCCTCCACGAAGAAGCAAATTTTTTTTGCTGATCGTAAAGAGGAAGCAAAATGTTCATGTAATGAACATCTGGATTTACAACTTGTTTAGGGAAGTTTACAGTTTAATTGACAACTGTCAAATTGTTAATTTAACATCATAATATTTTTAATCAGCGACATCGGAAACCCTTACAAACATGTATTACTTATTACTTTTTGTAATATGTATTACTTTTTTATTATTTTATTTATTATTTATACCTACTGTTGCTATTTGAAAAACTTAGATTATGTTTTTTATGTTTAGGGATTTTGTTATAAATTTATATGAAAAATTGTTTTAAAAAGTTTTTCATTACTTTTATGTTTTTTATTTTGATACTGTGATTAACGCTGAAGATTTCCCTAGTTAGAGAAAAAGGGCATTCTAGTCAAGGCTTGATTCCAATATTTAATAGGGGCCTAAATAGATCTAGCTACCAAGTTGAAGTCCACAACGTTGATCAACGAAAAAAATTCTTCACTTAGTAAATTAATTAACAATGACGCATAAATATTGACACAAAAATATTTAGAAAAAAAAGATTGATGTTTATATTTTGATAATAATTATTTTACAATTAAAAATCAAATTAAAAATAATACTTGAATGCATTAAATAAATTTTTTTCGTTGATAAACGTTGTGGACTTCAACTTTGTATCTAGCTATACTTCCTTATTTAACTCTCTGCTGATGCTAACCACCGTTATCGCCAAAAATCGTCATTCCGGACTCCTGGTGAGGAATATGGTAGTTACATTTTTTGGCGATAGAGAGGGAATAAGTTAGCATCAGCAGAGGTTTAAAAAAGAGAGCATTCTAGTCAGTGCCCGATTTTCGCCTATTCAAACATTACTAGTGTGGTTGGCTTAACTAATTCCATATGAGTGCTCTTCTTCAAATAAGGCAGTGTTTTGAAACAAATTGTAAAATCATTATTTTTGTCCCACAGACGTCAACGTAATAAACAAAGGAAATTGGAGGAGGATTTTGCAAACGAGGAAAATGTTACGCTTGAAGTTGAGATGGACGAATGTCAGGACAAAACATTTCATGAAGACTTAAATATATCGTTCAACAACAACGAAAACAACAACAATCATTTTACAGGAGATAAAGTTGAGGAGGTAAGTGATAATGAAATTGTTTTGCAGGCAGAGTTCGAAGAAGAGGATGAAGCATTTGAAGCAATGCAAGAAGAAACAGTTGAAATTGAAGAGATATTTGAAGAAATAGAAATTTTAGAGGTAGAAGATGAAAAGGATATGGGGATAGATTTGCAGCCAAATATAAAATTAAAAGAAGGAAAGGAAGACTTCTTCGCGAAGAATGAAGAGATTAAAGAAAATGAAGAAGATGAAGAAAAACAGTGTAATGGACTTGAGAAATTTGTAGAAGGGAAAAAGCAAAAAGTTATATTAAAAGTAGGCCAAGAGAGCAACAAAGAAATTGAAAATGAAGCATTGCAAGAAATGAAATGTTTATATAAGGAATCAAATGAAATAGAAGAAATTTATGAAGAAATATTAATTAATGGAAAAGAAGATATGATGAATGCAGAAGAAGATGATAATGATGAGGACATAGAAGAGGAAGAAAGAGATGAAACAGAAGCGAACATAGAAGAATTTATAGAGGAAGAAGTGAATGAAGAAATGTGCATAATGAATCCTCATAATGATGAGGACATAGAAGAGGAAGAAAGAGATGAAACGGAAGAGAACATAGAAGAATTAATAGAGGAAGAAGTGGATGAAGAAATGTGCATAGATGAAAACGAAGATATATATGAAAATAAAGGTAGTAAAATAGAACAAGAAACAAAGGGAAAAAGCAATGAAAAGAAAAAGTTTAAGAATGTTAAAATCTTAGACGAATTTATTACTCAAGAAAGGGAAATTTCAATGATGACTCACGTAATAAATGAAACTTTGAAAAAAGTTGTAGAAGAAAACAATCACAAAAAAGGCTGTGAAGAAAAATCCTGGAAAATTGTATCCCGATACAGAAAAGGATTAAAAACTAAATACAATCTGCAATGTAGAAATTGTGGTGCAATTGTACCAATTTGGTCAGAGCCAGAAAGTGAAGATTATTTAGATATAAATTTGGGTTCTGCTCTTGGCACTATTACAGCAGAAATAGGATATTCTACAATAGAGGAAGCACTTGCAGCAATAAATGTACACTACATGAGTCCTGCATTTTATATAAAATGTCGTTTGGAAGTAGGATTACAAGTTATGGAAATTAGTAGAAATGTCATGAAAGCTTGTGCTAAAAAAGAAGCAGAAATAGCAGTAGCTAAAGGACATGTCATCAACGGCATACCTTATATAACAGTGATAGTTGACTGTGCATGGTCGAAACGAACTTATTGCACATCTGCATATGATGCCTTAGGAGGATGTGTTTTAATTATAGGTTATGAAACAAATCAAATAATAGATGTCCTAGTGAGAAATATCCCTTGCGCAATATGTCAACGAGCAATGAAAGAAGAAAGAGTGCCTAGAGAACATGAATGCTTTTCAAACTATGATGAAGGAAAAAGCTCTTCACGAATGGAGTCTGAAATGGTTGTGGAAGGTTTCACAACAAGCGAGGAAAAATATGGATTAATTTATAAATACAGAATTGGTGATGGAGACAGCAGTACAGATGCATTGATTGCGAATATCGATCCCTATGAGAAGCATAATGTAGTAGTGAAAAAATTGGAGTGCAATAATCATAAATTTAGGAATTTTTGCAACCACATAGATGCTATGACTTCAGAAAAATCACAACATGAAGATAAAAACCCTGGAAATGCAGCTGCACGAAGAATCTTGGGAGGTAAAAAATTAAAGATGCGAATCGAAATTATCACAGCTAGCGACAGGCGCAGAGAAGATGAAACATTAACAATTGCCCAAAAAATTGAATTGCTTTATCAAGACATTCAGAATGTAGCAAGTCATTGTTTAGGTGAACACAAGAATTGTGAAAGGTTAAATTGGCCGTGTAAGGGAAGAAATTTACTAGGAGAGGACAATATGATACCCTTAATAAAAAATACTCAATCTTACGCACAAGTTGTAGAAGAATTACGCTTATTAGGACGATATTCAGAAAGTTTGTTGTATAAAGTCACAACAAATGTGGTTGAATCTGCAAATAATAATATTTGCAAAGTTATTTCTGGAAAAAGAATCTGCTACAATATGAAAGAAAGTTATACAGTACGCTGTCATGCTCCCGCAATGCAATTTACAACAAAAAAAGTTTTATCAACTGTGTATGAAGGAATGGGAAAACAAGTACCCCAAGTCGTAGAATCAATGGAAAATCGGCGGAAATTGAAAGTTGAAAACAATAAAAAGTATGCCCAAGAAAAACGGAGAACAAAAAGGTACTTTAAGAAGAACAAGGATCAAGATTACGGAGCCAATGCAAAGAGACCCGATTTACCAGAGGACATATATAAAAAAGAAGAAGACGCTCTAATGGATGAATTGCAAAGCAATTGGGAAGAAAGGGATCAAATCATAGAGCGAACAAAAGTCCAATCATTATCTGATGAGTGGAAAAGAATACGTAGTAAGATGCTTACAGCTTCAAACTTTGGTTATGTCGCTAGAAGACAGAAAACTACGTTGTCTTCGAGCTTAGTCAAACAAATATTATTTAACATGGTTCTAACGGATGCGATGCAATATGGAATAGACCGTGAACAGGATGCTAGAATACAGTTGGACGAAAAACTAGGCATAACAACTGAAATTTGTGGGTTTTTCATAGACCCGATAATCAAATTTTTAGGAGGTTCTCCTGATGGATTAATTGCACAAGAGTTATATGATTTAGATATTCCTTTAAATGCAATTATGAACAGAAAGTGTAATGAATTTTCATATGAAATTGTTCCAGGGGGCATTGTTGAAATAAAATGTCCCTATACAGCAAGAAATATGACGATAGAAGAAGCAAAGAAAAAAATTACCACTATTAAAGGTATGTATAGAAAGGATATGAAGTTTATAAAAACGTCACATCCATATTACTATCAAGTTCAAGGATTACTTCATTGTACTAGACGCAAATACTGCATTTTCGTCATGTGGACATTAGTAGATATGGAGTATACAGTAATTCTACGTGATGACAAATTGTGGAGTAATATTGAAAAGAAATTATCAGACTTTTATTTATATTGTATGCGTCCTGAAATAATAGACAGCAGAAATATAAGACATTATCCACTTCGAGAGCCAGAGTATATTCTAAAGGCAAGAGAACACTATAAAGCAGAAAAGGAAAAAGCAAAACAAGCAAAATTAAATGCTATTCTTCAAAAGTGTATTGAAACTGAAAAAATCGTTGATAGTGACATTCAAGGAGTTCATCAAGCACAAGAGAAACTGCAACAATTACCAAAAAGAAAGCAAGATTTTAAGGACGGTGTACAAGGTACTGTTAAAAAAAGGAAAACTTGCGATGATTGGACACTTGCAGACGTGTCTAATGTTGACATCATACTGACACCAAAGAAAGAAAAGTTGGAGTCATCAAAAAGAAGTCAAGATTTTAAAGACGGTGAGGAAACAAGTGTAAAAAAAGCAAACTTTGCGATGATTGGATACTTCCTGACTTCTCTAGAGTTGATAACATATTACCACCAACGAAAGAAGAATTAGAGTTTTTTCAAATGTTAACAAGTAGTGAACCTTCTCTTCAACAGTTGAAGGAAATAATACTTGACAACAACAAAATGTTGGATGATGCATGTATAGACAGCTTTATTAAAGTACTACAAGCGTACCATCCAGAATTGGAGTTTTTAAGTACGCACAACCTCTCCAATCCACAATTCATAACACCATGTACGAAAAATGTTGATGTGCAAATATTAGGAGCAATATAGAGCAACAAAGAGGGTGGTTGAGGGTGGTATTTGTTGCTAATGAATAAAAAATTTTCCATTTCAGAGTAAATCAACATGTAAATTTTTAATGAAATAACACAACTGTAAGGGATTTTTCTGCCCTAATACACCGAAAATACAACTTATCAGACCGCAAAGTATAAAAACCATCTTTGTGCAACACCTGCTGGAAAAGAGCTACTTTTCTTTAACATAAATGCAGCACAAAGTGGTAAATTTCTGCACACTTTTAATTACTTTTCCGCACACTGTGCAGGAAAGTGTACTTTCCTGCACACTTTTTTGTAAACAGTATAATATACACTATAATCAACATAAAACTATATTTATTGATTAGAAAAGTATAAAAATTCCTTTTTTCGGTAAATAGATGTTGTACAAAGTACTGTGTGCAGTACAACATGTTGTACAAACTTTAAAAACATGTTTTTCTATGTCTTTTTACAGCAAAGAGGAATTTAAACAAATTTTGTATTGTTCTTAATATTTATAATTTCAGGGTACGACACCAAAAAAATGATGTTATAGTTATATAGCAGCAAAGAAATAAAATATATTTTGGCACAACCAAATTTTGTTGTCAGAAACAAACACTTTTCTCAGTGTAGTAAAAGTTAACGAAGATGTTTGTTGACGATGATCTTTCTCATCGATTATTTTCTTTGTGTTTTAATACTTTTAATTTTAGAGTTTGACGCCATAAATATACTTATTTATGACGTTATATAGCAACAAGGGAATTGATATTTACAAAACCAAAAGGAGCGTGGGAGAATTATATCACCTTCTTAGTAATGTAGAAAAAAAGTACCACAAAACAGAATTTTACTGTGGCCATTGTTTTAAATAACGTTTATCAACGTTTTTAGAGTTTATATTGACACAATATTACAAAGTCAAAAACTTACTCACATAATATTGTACAGCATCGAGGGATTCAACCTTTATAAATGAAAGCAGCGTGGGAGGATCTATATTATATTTTTGACATTAATTTGTAAGAATTTAAGGGGGATCCTACTTTACATGGTTAAAAAAATCTGTGTCTTTTTTTTTTGTTAATATCTGCAAGAAATAGATGCAACAACAAGTATCTACAGTTTTGAAGACTAAGCTTAATTATTTTTAAGCTTTTTATTGATTTTTTGTCCAGTGCAAAACGTTAACCGTAGGTGTTTGACACGCATATTTAACTTTTACTGCAAAACACTGGTGTGCAGAATTAACAAAAAAACGGCTTGACAAAATGTAATGAATGCTTGTTTGTTTTACTCAGCATTAATCCCTCTTCTGTTTGAAGTAAAACAATTTAAAAAAAATTGTTTTTACTATTTTGAAAACCATTTAAGTAATTATTTTTTTTTTTTATTTATCTCCTAAAATATTAGAATTTCACCAATTCTTAGAAACTTTCTTAGTTTAAATAGAAATTAAAATAGAATTTTAATATAAAATCCAAACATATGATATTTAAAATACCTAAAACGTATAAAAACCATTCAAAAAAAAATCCCAGAGGTTTGAGTTAATTCTTTCCTTTTTAAAAAAATTCTTGAAAAACAGTATTTTAGGCCTTCTAAATAGGATCCCCCCCTGAACAAAGACGTTGCTTGACAATGATCTTTGCATTGGTTATTTTTTTGTGTTTTAATAATTTTAATTTCAGAGTTTAACGCCATAAATGTGACTGTCCACGAGAAAACAGGGCTTAGCTCTAAAAAATCATTTTGAGTTTTTTATGCTAATCGATAGATTTTATATTGCTTTTTCAAATGCAAAAATCAAAAGTTGTAAATTGTCAATTACTTTTGACAATACAACGTTTTAAAGATGTTATATTGTATGCATTCCTTCGTTCTGCTTCTTTCAATCACTAGCCCTGTGAAAGCTAAGCCCTGTTTTCTCGTGGACAGTCACAAATGTAGTTATTCATGACGTTATATAACAACGAGGGAATTGATATTTACAAAAACAAAAGCAGCATGGGAGATTTATATCACTTTCTTAGTGATGTAGAAAAAAAGTACCACAAAACAGAATTTTACTGTGGCCATTGTTTTAAATAACGTTTATCAACGTTTTTAGAGTTTATATTGACAAAATATTTCAAAGTCAAAAACTTACTCACATAATATTGTACAGCATCGAGGGATTCAACCTTTATAAATGAAAGCAGCGTGGGAGGATCTATATTATATTTTTGACATTGATTTGTAAGAATTTAAGGGGGATCCTACTTTACATGGATAAAAAAATCTGTTTCCTTTTTTTGTTAATATCTGCAAGAAATAGATGCAACAACAAGTATCTAAAGTTTTAAAGACTAAGCTTAATTATTTTTAAACTTTTTATTGATTTTTTGCCCAGTGCAAAACTTTAACCGTATGTGTTTGACACCCATATTTAACTTATACTGCAAAATACTGGTGTGCAGAATTAACAAAAAACGGCCTGACAGAATTTAATGACTGCTTGTTTGTTTTACTTAGTATTAATCCCTCTTCTGTTTGAAGTAAAACAACTGAAAAAAAATTGTTCTCACTATTTTGAAAACCATTTAAGTCATTAATTTTTTCAAAAAAGTTGATTTTTTTATTTGTCTCTCAAAATATTAGAATTTTACCAATTCTTAGGAACTTTCTTAGTTCAAATAGAAATTAAAATAGAATTTAAATATAAAATACAAACATGTGATATTTAAAATACCTCAAACGTATAAAAACCATTCAAAAAAAAATTTCAGAGGTATTTGAGTTATTTCTTTCCTTTTTAAAAACATTCTTGAAAACAGTATTTTAGGCCTTCTAAATAGGATCCCCCCACTGAACAAAGACGTTGCTTGACAATGATCTTTGCATTGGTTATTTTTTTGTGTTTTAATAATTTTAATTTCAGAGTTTAACGCCATAAATGTAGTTATTCATGACGTTATATAGCAACGAGGGAATTGATATTTACAAAAACAAAAGCAGCGTGGGATATTTATATCACTTTCTTAGTGATGTAGAAAAAAGTACCACAAAACAGAATTTTACTGTGGCCATTGTTTTAAATAACGTTTATCAACGTTTTTAGAGTTTATATTGACACAATATTACAAAGTCAAAAACTTACTCACATAATATTGTACAGCATCGAGGGATTCAACCTTTATAAATGAAAGCAGCGTGGGAGGATCTATATTATATTTTTGACATTGATTTGTAAGAATTTAAGGGGGATCCTACTTTACATGGTTAAAAAAATCTGTGTCCTTTTTTTGGTTAATATCTGCAAGAAATAGATGCAACAACAAGTATCTAAAGTTTTAAAGACTAAGCTTAATTATTTTTAAACTTTTTATTGATTTTTTGCCCAGTGCAAAACTTTAACCGTATGTGTTTGACACCCATATTTAACTTATACTGCAAAATACTGGTGTGCAGAATTACCAAAAAACGGCCTAACAAAATTTAATGAATGCTTGTTTGTTTTACTTAGTATTAATCCCTCTTCTGTTTGAAGTAAAACAACTTAAAAAAATTGTTTTCACTATTTTGAAAACCATTTAAGTCATTAATTTTTTCAAAAAAGTTGATTTCTTTTATTTGTCTCTCAAAATATTAGAATTTTACCAATTCTTAGGAACTTTCTTAGTTCAAATAGAAATTAAAATAGAATTTAAATATAAAATACAAACATGTGATATTTAAAATACCTCAAACGTATAAAAACCATTAAAAAAAATCCCAGAGGTATGAGTTAATTCTTTCCTTTTTAAAAAAATTCTTGAAAAACAGTATTTTAGGCCTTCTAAATAGGATCCCCCCACTAAACAAAGACGTTGCTTGACAATGATCTTTGCATTGGTTATTTTTTTGTGTTTTAATAATTTTAATTTCAGAGTTTGACGCCATAAATGTACTTATTCATGACGTTATATAGCAACGAGGGAATTGATATTAACAAAAACAAAAGTAGCGTGGGAGATTTATATCACTTTCTTAGTGATTTAGAAAAAAATACCACAAAACAAAATTTTACTGTGGCCACTGTTTTTAATAACGTTTATCGACGTTATTAGATTTTGTATTGATACAATATTACGAAGACAAAAATTTACTCAAATAATATTGTACTGCATCGAGGGATTCAACCTTTATAAACGAAAGCAGCGTGGGAAGATCTATATTATACTTTTGATATAGATTTAGAAAAACTTAACAGAAATGTTTCTTGACAATGATCTTTGCATTAAAAATTTTTATGTGTAATAATACTTTTAATTTTAGATTATAATGCAAAACATAAATACTTATTTATGACGTTCTACAGCATCAAGGAAATTAATATTATCAAACAAAGCAGCGTGGTAGGTGCAATTTAAAAATAATTGATAATAATCAAGAAGTATTTGTTTAAATAACTCATTAAATATTATTTTTAAATCTGACATTTACATTCGTTATGTTCAGCTAGTGGAATTGCAAAATTGACAAAAACTGCAGTTCTGTAGGAGAAATTTAAAAAAAGTTGGTAATAGAGGTGTGAAAAAAGCTCAAAGCTCGATTAAGCTTTTCATTTCTCGAGCCGAGCTGTGTAAAAAGCTTGAATAGTTTCGATTGCAGTAAATTCGAGTTCTAGAACAAAATTCTTATAATTTTCGCATATATTGTAATTAGCAAATAGAAATACACTTTGAAATTAAAGATTTATTTACTTTATTGATTCAGTAATTCAAATAAATTCGAAATTTTTTACTTAATAATAGTTTTTTAGCAAGATAAAAGCTCGAATCCATTCGAGTGCTCGAGTGACTTCGAGTACTTGAATTCACTCAAGTGCTTAAATTTACCTGAGTACTCAAAGTCACTTGAGAGCTCGAAAATTTTGAGTACTCAATACATGGAGCCGACTTTACTAAGCTCGGATCTAAAAAATTTCGGCTCGGCTCGACCTTTCGAACTTTTTGTACATCTCTATTGGTAATAAACAATATT